TCTTTGAACGACACAACACTAGTGAGAAGCGGAAAGCAGCAGAGAAATAGCAGAAAGTTTTGTACGCTATTTAATCACTATACACTTTTGAGCGGTTTTGAGGCAAGAAATCAATTGTGTAGAATTTGAAAATTGTCAGTTTAACCAAAGTTGACGTTTTCGGGGCTGAGAAGCTCCACAAGTGCGTGCGGGTGCCAGTCATGCACACAGAGCACACTGGTAGTAGTTACTCAGACCACTGCAGCAGACACAACAGAGCAGCGGAGACAGAGGTTCATTTATTTGTGGCGGCCCACCACAATCTCAAAGCTGACTGCCACATACTGATTTACTTTTTTTTTTTTACTAGGCCTATTTAAAATCTTATTTAATTGAAAATCAGCGCCGTAGGGCATTCGTGCAGCACATCCTCTCGCTCGTTTCTCTCTGTCTTTCGCTCTCATAATCACTGCAGCACAAATCTGTCCAACACAATGCTGGCAATGTCGGAGACCAAGCTTTAAAGAAGTTAGTAGTAATGAGTAATGGTTTAAAGTACATCGAGGAACATCTGGCTCGTGATGTAGCCTATAGAACATTCTCCACCGAGTTATTGCCTAAAACCTATAAGCACTTTTGAAAAATAAACTACAGTAGTAGTATGAAAGGGGGCTGTTGCTTTATTATTCTAAATAGACATTACATTGTTAGTGTACAGTTGTGATTATAGTACTTGCTTTTAATTTGCTTTTGTTTTATATCGTTTCAAAGCAAAAATCTTTGTTTGAAAGTTTGTATAAATCAGTGAATTATAGGATTAGCCTATGCTGTTTTGTCTTCTTCCCTGGTTTCCCCCTAGCATTGATACTAGTGTTCATTCTGAATTGTAAACCTCGTTCACTTTATGGTAACATTAGCTAGTTAGGCTGTGTGTTGGAGATCAGTAATTCACTTGAAAGATATTTAATTAGTTAAATGGTTTAATTAGGCTTAGGGTTGGGGGTGACAAAAATAATCGTGACTAATACTACAATAATTATTAGTTGCAGCCCTATCCCTACTATCTTCTGTCTCACCACCCCAGCTGCTGGATCTCTGTCTTTATTTTACAACAAGCTGCTCTCCCGGTGCTCCGGCTGGCTTTGTTTTCTGCCAGAGTTTTGACAACTCTCATTTGACTGACACCAGCTTTGCGTGTCCTGCCCGTTTTAAACGATTAGTGCCGTGGTGCACCGCAACGGGCGTGGTGGGGCGGATTATGGTAGGTTGTAGTTACTTGCACATTGTGCTCGTAAATCATTTTCCCGGTTCGCACATATCGATTTTTAGAGGCATATGCAAGCAAAATGGTCGCACTGTAGAGCCCTGAAATGGTCATTTGCTCCAGGCACAGAACAACGGTCATGCCCACAAAGGAACGTGCAGCCCTGTTAAAGGGCTTAAAGAGACAGGAGCATCTACAGCTTGTTCCAGACAGAGGCTGAAATGAGGGCCTGCATGAAGGGCCAGTCTAAGATAGAAAATTATTTTTTTTACTTTGTCTGAGTTTTCCAAGAACTGTGAATCATGCAAAGCTACCATACATGAGTCACAGAACTACATAGTAGGGCTAGAAATGCGGTATAATAGGTTTCCTTTAATGCTGTTGCTACATGCTACCTGTAATGGAGCAATGTTGTTATGAACTAAAGTTTTGGACAAGTGTATTTTTTTTAACTTGCTATGAGTTCTATTTAAATACATCTAGGACACACAGGGCTGTAGGCCTGAATAACCAAAGATTTAGCCTTCTTTTAATTAAAAGGAAGTAAACACAAGCAATCAAGTCAGTGCTTCCTTATACTATAGTTGCTACAGCAATGATAATACTACTTGCCAACCATCTTCCGTTCTGGTGTTTTAGATTGTCTACCTTCAGCTACAATTAAGTGTTACATTTAGAACAAACTCTGCTTCTGCTGAAATGTACCACAGGGCACTCCCCATCTGCTCTGCTTTACGTGACGGACTAGCTGTAACTAGTGAGCCAGTTATATAGAAAGGTTGTGCAGGTTATGAAAATGTATTATGAAAGTGAGTCAATGATGATTAAAATTTTAAGGCCACGTCGCTTTTCACGAAATGGCCTCTTAATTACATGTAGCACCACAGTAATTGTTCAGCGTGCACATGCTCTCCCTGACACTATACACACATCAGCCAATGTAAGTACTCATTCGGTCACCGGTGGAAAGAAAAGAGACAGAACAAAGCAAAAGCAAAGAATTAAACCACTTCACACATTTAAAGGTATTGTATATTTGGTAGAATATGAAAGCTTAGATTTTAGTTCATATTTATGTTGTCAACGATAAACATATTTCTCCTCATCATTAAACAGATATCAGAAAAGAGGGGTAACAATTTGACCATATGGTAAAGTAATTGTTATATTGTCTGGTAAAATCACAATTTCTATACTTATATATGCCCATATGTAAACTCTTTGGCAGGAAGATGCAGTGGTGGTTCTAGTGGCGGTCCATCGTCTTATGTGCATGTTTTCTCACACAGACTTCACTCGGTAAAAAGAAATTGGTAGACTATTAACTTACGTTACAAGTCGCAGTAGATATTTTACGCACGGAACAGGTAAAGCAACTGTGAACACACAGGGTGCAGATGTTGTTTTCAGTTGTTTGATAGGCTACGTCATTAATAAGCCAAAGTGCGGCTCACATGCTGCCCCAATAAGGGATCACGGGTGGAAACATATGGAAAAAACGAGACGAGTTCTCAGTCTTTTAGGCGACTTTATAAAACATACTGCTGATGGAGAAAATGGAGCAGACGGGGGAGAGAGAGGCGGGGCAAGCCGGGTGTTTACCTGAGGTGTAGGGGTGTGTGAATGTGTCAGAGTGTGGGGAGAAGAGAATTCGGCAGGTGCAAAGCATACTTAAAAACAATAATAAAAATGTTCGTGGTCATTAAAACCTACTTTCACAGGGTGGTATAATGTGAAAATTTGAGATTTTTTTTTTGCTGGGGGGGGCGATGCCAGCTCAACGTTGTGATGTCGTCGATGGACAATGGTATTGTCTATCAGCCCAACCCTATTAGTTGTAGTTTTATTAAATTACATTATACAAAAAAAACATTCCTGTTAACTTTAGCTCAGGTTACAATATATTCTTTGATTCAACACTTCTTTGTAAGTCTTAATGAACAGTATAGTTTGTATTTTGTATCCCACTATAAGTTTTGCTAGAGAAACAACAAACGTCTCCATATTCACCCCTGTTATTAGTCATGATGTGAAATATACCCAAAACAAAATACTTAGTAGGCCATCATCTGTGTATTATAAAGGGGGGATGCATTTTATGGCAGGTTGAAAATATAGTCTGAAATAATATGTATCCCACTATAACTTGTGCTAGGAAAATTTAAATTTCTCCATATTCACTTATGTTATTAGTCATGATGTGAAGTACACAAAATTAAATACTTGATGGTAGGCCATCATCTGTGCATTATGGATGGGGATACATATTTTGGCAGACTGCATGTCCAGCCTGGTAGGACCAATAGTCTGCTGTTATCGCTTGAAAAGTTCTGTTTAAAAGCAATGCATTATTAAATTGTTATGATAATAATTTACCCTTTAAGGAGGGGGGAGTCAGAACAATTTCCAGCAATATCCAAAGGCTATCCATGCAATGGAAACATGGACTACAAGGACAAAATATTGTGTACAATGCTGCATTGAGTTTAATGTACATTTCAAATCAAGTAGAGGTGACGTTGAGGCGAGCAATGTGTAAACTGATTACAGTGATCTTGATTTTACAAGATGGTGTAGATATTTGTTGGAGCAGTTTACTTGAAAAAGGTGACAGCCTGTCTAGATCTAGCTTCCAAACAGTAACATGGATGACTAAGTGATCAACTACGTGGTCAGTAATAACATTATCAGACTATCGCAAAATAACTGTTTGCTTTACGAGGGAAACTATATGCTTGTTTTGTTTAGACAGTCTCAATTCAGTGCAATAAATAATACGAAGTTCAATAACACGTAATGTTAACGTTGGCCTATAAAAGCGTTGTTATAGTCTGTGTGCTAGCTTTCTCTTCAAAAACCTCATTGATGAAACAATAGATGAAGCAATCCACATGTTATATTTTTCATTTACTTTTGTGAAGTCAAAAGTCTGCCTTCACCGTTGAATGCGCGTGTGCTCCCGCTGCTGGGGGAACACTTTCTATCAGGGATAACTACCTTGGCACGACACCGGACAGTGGGGATGTAACATCCTAAATGATCCGACCATTTGAGACACATTTGTTCCGCCTTTTGCATCAGCACCATATCGTCGCAAGGAAGATATATTACTATGATTATTGTAGACTTTTCATTCAGAGGGGGCCATACGGGGGTCCAAGGTCTGTGTTACAGGTGCACTGGCATCCTTCATTTGATTTGGTTGTTTTGGTGCTGGTTAGCTCTTTTTTCACTGTAATTCAAGTTTAGCTAGTGAATAAATAGTTTTGACAGAAATATAAGAGTCATTACACAAGGGAAAATATAATAATACAATCATTGCTATAAAGAATAAAGTAATTTGTCCTTTGATGGGGTGGTTGGAGGTGGTTTAAAAATAGAACTAGGGGAAAAACACTAGACTTCACTTTTTGTGGGGTAAGATTTCATAAATACAAGCATTAGAAGCTAAGCATAAGAATCCACATTGCCTTCTAAATCCCATAATAAACAATTTAGTTTCTTGTGCTGACACACTAATATAAATGAAAAGACAGAGAAAACCTGAAAACAACATTAATCCACAGAGTGATATTTAGACTGTCCACTCTCAGGATGACATGTCCTTTGAGTGACTTGTCTTTGGCACTGTACTTGTCATGTGTGTTGACCAGTGGATTAGTGGTGGATTCTCTGTGATCCTCTTAGGGGGCGTTTGCTCATGTAGAGCTGCAGTTGACTCAAGCTACAAGTGACTGTACCAAATACCTGCACTTACCTCTGTAATCTAGGCTGTAGTCCTCAGTGTGAGACAGCATCCCTGGTGTCCTCCAGCAGTGCAGATGTTCATTGATCTCGCTTCTTAAACTGTGGAAAAAATAAACGAGTAATGTAATGTCATTTCCTATTGTTTTTGAGCAGCTTAGTATCAGTGAATGGAGTTTGTATGTTGACTGGTATGTCAAGTTTCATAAGACATAAAAGCATTTAAGTCAACATGTAAAATCCAATCCTTGGGGGCCAGTCTTAATGGGGCATGTAATAAAAAGCTGCTTGTTAGGCGGATAACCTTCTTTTGGCATTGCAGTCTCCAAAATGAATTCAGCAAAACAGACAGGTTTTTTTTCTCTCCTTTTTTTTCCTCAAGAATCGCAACCACCTCATTAACCTTATCTAACAAGCACGAGCTAATGAAATCCTCTGTTTCAGTTTTCGGTCTTGCCAAAGTTAGTTTTACTAATTAATCAAATATCCGTTCCCCCCCTATCATCTTAATGACTCTCTGTAAAGTGAATGAGAATGTGCTGCACACACCGCCTAGGGGTGAGGCTGCATGGGCACATTTTCATGCATTTTTATTGGAAGTTAAAGTAAAGAGAAAGAGAAGCTTTGTACTTAAGGGATAGATGGATGTTTTGTATTCACTACAATAAGTGAAATAGAAATGAAACATGATTTCTTCATCTTTTATCAGTGCTTCATTTTTGCTTTTATGTTTCTGTTTCCCTACAGCATGCAGCAATTTTCCCACCTACATACATATTAATATCTGCATAAGACAAGCTCCAGATTACTGCACAATCAGTATTCATATTACTCCTCTTTCTCTAATGAAACAATTCGGTATTCTCATCCCTTGTGATTCAGAGTGTATGACATGCTGTATCAGATGAAAAGCACTGGCAAAATTCAATCTCCAACAATCAGTAATGGAAATCTGCTAAATGGCTAGATTTTCAGTAAATGAGAGGACAATAGATAATGTAATTCAATTAGCTGCTAAGGCTGCTATTTGCATCCCAGTGAAAGGGGTGATAGTTTAAGTGGCTCAAGGCAGCTGCCTTTCAGCAAAGCCCCGTGACAACACAAAAAGCAGCGGAACCAAGAGAAAGGGGGAGTTTGGGAGTCTTGAGCAGTATTCTTTTAATTACTCATCATAATGACTCCATTTAGCTGTTCAATGACCCATTTTACGGCATTGAGCAGGCATGGGAAGCTCTCTGTCCTTGGCAGGGTCAGTCCTGCAGCTGCCCCGGACTGCCATGCTTCTACCAAGAGGGAAGGACCCCCCCCCTCAACCAGGCTTTAACACACAGGTTGCTGAAGCATCTCCCTCGAAACACTTTCACACATGTTCACACCAGCTCCATCACCACAAATGAAGGATGAACCCAACATCACATGATAAAGGAATTGAATTCAAAGAAGAGTTCATTATATCAAAAATTCTTCACAAATGTTGTTGTGCATTAGACAGATATGGGTTGGTCACATTGACACCCACCATTACGTTCACACATAGAGACTCCTAGGCATATTAATAACATCACTTCAACATCATATAAGATAAATAATGTGTCCTATATATATATATATATATATATATATATATAGTAAGATGTAAGGAAGGATTATGTAGATGCTGCTTGACTAAAGTAGCAACAATGTTTTGTTTTTTTTAAGTCTTAAAACTCCATGTTAACAGGTAATTTTCTCTAACACATAAATCAACCTTTTCTCCTATTACATCTAACCCTGTCTGTGGTTAGGTTCAGGCAGCAAAAGCACATTGGTTAATGCTGGGGAATACAAATGAAATGCGTTGTGCAAACATTCTACTAATATGTTCAGTTTCAGCATTTTTGCAAACAATTAGCAACATTTCCTCATTATGTTAAAAGGACATATACACTGGTCGGCACTGAAGTGTCTCCAGAACACAACAAGCAATTTTTCCAGGAGACAGGGGTGTATAAACAGGTAGAAAAAATCAGTTGTAAATGTGGCTTCAACTCTATAAATTAAGTCTGTATCTTCTGAATTGAGTTGAAAACAGTGCACTATATGAAACCTTCCATCATGCTAGGGCTTTCATTTTCATAAATGTGCTGTACACACACACAAAAAAAATATTTTGGGCAAACACATGCCAAATACAATCAAGATATAGAAGAGATTTTAGAGTCAAGAAAGCTGCCACTGCAATAAGGATTTTACAATATTGGATATGTTTTAAATTACTTTTGTGGGTTGGTAATAGGGCTGCATTTGTCCTGTAGTCCAAACATATGCTAATATGTCATATGCTGAACAGCAGCTTACAGGTCAGTTAGATGGAGGACTTTTAATAACACTTATATTTTTCTTTTTCTACCATATATATATTTTAAATATTGTTATTCTAAGTAACTCTAATTTACTAAAGAGCAAATATTTTTGTATATTTGGGGAATAAATGTAAATTTACCCTATTAAAATAACTAAACTTTACTGACACTAACTGACAACATACACTGACTCTTAAATATCCCTTAATCAGTGAAGTATTGACTGTTTTATGATGAGAAGTGGAGCAGTATCTATCCTCTCTCTCTTCCTATCCAGAACTCTCTTCCTTTGTGTTGCTTTTCATAAGACATGAAGTACGTGAGGATGGGTCAGGTTGCAGTCCTGAAGGAAGGGGTGCAGGAGGGGAAGAGTGGAGCTGGTGAGGAGAAAGGGACCATATGGTCTTGAGGAGCTGGAATTTCTGGCACGTCTCCAGAAAGCTGACCCAGAGCATTGAAAGGTTGAGCACTGGCACCGATCTGACTGATTCTGCTCAGCTGCCGACGTGCAGAGGAGCGCACATGGATATGAGGACAAAAATAGCTTGCTGTGGTCCACAGCTTGACGTAACTGTTCAGAATTTAAATCACTGCCAATTAATTCTGTCCCACGTCAACTTTCTATGAGATGACTACCGTCACACTGTAGCAATAGGCTAGACTATTAGACTGGCAATCTGTGCAATCTGTTTGAATAAAGAAAACAGTTAAAATATTCTGAAAAGAAGTGACCCCAAGTCAAATTATGTGTGCCCTCCTCATCTCTTCCTGGGTAAAAAAAGGCAAACCATCTTGTTGTGCCGGTTTATAAATTGAAGAGATTAGTGTGTTTAAGTGGTTTACAGAGTAAAGGCCTCCACATTTAAAAGATAGGAGAGACATTCTTCCATTCCCCTACTTTACCGTGTGATGTACTGTATTTCCTTCAGCATAAACACAAGCTGAACACCAAAGTCTGCACTTCCCCACTTTGCAATATGATTCATTATTACACTCAGCTCGTGGCCATCATCAGCACTAACCAATCAATCTTGATGTTATATCCTTTGTGTTGGGCTGCAAATAACAATTATTTTCATTTTAGATTAAACTAATTTCTCAATTAAGTGATTAATTATTTTCTCTACAGAACGTTTACATTTTTTTGAAAAACCAGCAAATCCTCACATTTGAGAAGCTGGAACCATCAAATATTTGACATTTTGGCTTGAAAATGGAAATCTTCCACACCAATAAGATTAGGTATGCATGCATTGTACTCTTGAGCCCTGATACTGTTAATCAGTGCACCTCATGCACAGACGCACATTTGAATTACCTTCTGGGAATGGAAGGAGCCACACATTCATCTTCAGAAGGAGGTGGAGGAAGGTTAAATAAAATATTTTAAACCCAGCTTTAAAGAAACTGTTTTGGAATTGAAAGATGTTTAAATTTACTGTATACAACTCTGAAACTGATGCAAAGTGTTTACATAAAGCCATGACTTCAGCTCTCCATCTACCTCTAGTGGGACTCATCTCAAGTGTTGTACTCCTGTGTGAACCCAGTAGCCATCAGGTGTTACCAACAACCATCAGCAGTTTAGAGAAAACATCCTTAAAAATGTATTAACCCTGGCACCATTACTCTGTAGACAGCTTCATGTAGTGTTCAGCTTCAAAATGTGTCTAATTCAAAGTACTCTATTTTGTAAATGTGTGTGTGTGTGTGCCCTATATTGATGTCAAAACACATCATTCATTAGATTTCTTATGTCTGTCTTTCATGATTATAAAATGTAGTTGCATAAGCTGACAATACGCTGACAGGGTTTTATTATCTTGTAATATTATGTATGAACTTTTACTGGCCAGTGGCCAAATGGCAGAAACCTGTACACGTGCTTTGCTCCCTGCCTGCTACAATTCATTCAGGGAAATTGTATTAAATTAGACTTTTTTTTGACAGGATGAGGTTTTAGGTGGTGAATACATCTACTCTTATGTACTTATCCTGAGCTGCCAATCAGAGAGTACCTCACTTTGCAGCACTTGTGCCAGCTGGGGTGGAGGAGGGTGTACAAAAGCATAACAAATCTTTGTAGCATGCTGCACAGTCACAAGCAACAGACTGCACAGAGTGAGCAGCAGACTGGCTAAAAGTGTCGCTGCTCTTTGAAAGGCCCACTCTTATGTAGAGAGAGAGTGTGTGGTAGGAAGTCTGTCATGAACGCTGCTGCGTGGGTCAGTTTTGTTAAGCTTGCTGACTGAATCTGCATTGGGGTCATGATTACTAACAGTACCTGGGGTTGTGTTGGGATAGGATTTAAAGGCAGGTGATTACAGCAGCCAGGCTTTCCATCTGACCATGAAATAGTTAAATGGGGGCTAAAGTTATTAGATTTACATATTATTTTCTAATACTGAAGATCTGAAGTTCTTGATTTTACATCTGAATGACTCAGTCTCAGTTAAGCCTGAAGGTATGGAAATGGAGAGCAGCACAGCTACTTTCCTCCTATGGAGAATTAGAGAGTATGCGCTGCCTGTTGAACCCACAAACAGCAAGCCTTAAGCAAAACAACACACACATACACACACACACGCACACACACGCACACACATACACACATACATACTTTCCCATGTGCATGCATATGCACACAGTAAACTTTGAAATTGCCTTTCTAAAAATAGACATGCAGTAATACTTACAGTACTCTTAACCATAACAAATGCTATCTGCAGTAAAAAAACACATTTGGACAGAATGGGTTTC